AACTTTTAAAGGTTTAGCCTTGCTCTTTAAAAATGTTAAGGATTTACTTATAAGTGTATATGGGAGAAAATTAATTTTTGTATAATAAAAGGTAGAAGATGTTGCCATAAAACCAAAAATTCCTATCTTCTGCTAAAAATTTCAAGAGGTTTTTATTTTTTTTTTCAGTTTTTGGCTGTAGCTGGGCTTGAACCCTCCACCTCCAGCACATGGGGCAAGTGCCCTACTCCTTTGAGCCACAGGCACTGCCCCTCAAGAAATTTTATTGTACTGCATAAAAGCACATGTCCTCGCCAGCTTAAAAGCATTTTTGTCAAATTCCAGAAAATTGATATTCACTGAAATTGTATTCCCTTTTCGTATTAGGTAAATTTCTCTCAGTATCCTTATATTTTAATAGTTGGCTGGGGGTTATTAAAAGATAAAACATTAATTCATAGGATTCTCTTACTTAAAATATCGTATGCATTAATAGGAAGTGTCTTAAATCAAGAAGAAAAATCATAATCTCTTTATTCTCTATTTATATTTGAATAGAACATTTAAAGTAGACATTGCAAATGGAGACCAGCAATGCGTGTGCAGAGCAGATTCCACGTAAGAGTCCAGATTTCCAGATGGCTGAGGGTAACAGGAAGGTCTGGCAACACTGGTCTGCCATCGCGGTGGCACTTTTGAGACTGGAGAGCAGCTGCTCCTCTGCCAGCTTCGACCCCAGCTCCCACCACCCCATGGCACCCACTTCCCCTTAGTGCTTTCTCCCCGCCCTATAGGCACTTGGGCTTGTCACCCTTAATTAGAATATTAAAATATACACTATGTATGGTTCTGAAAATCAACTTTGAAAGTCACTGAATTTTATGCCATAGTTCTGTTTGGTTTGATTTATCCTTTTTTCTCCCTTTTTTTTGAGATAGGGTCTTGCTATGTTGTCCAGGCTGGATTTAAATTCCTGGGCTCAAGCAATCCTCCCAGTTCAGCCTCCTGAGTAGCTGGGACTGCAATGCTACTGTTGCTTAGCTTTGTTCAGTTTTTGGTTTGTCTTAAAATTATTGGTGCTCTTAGTTTAATAGAATCCATTACTTATTAGCAGGAAGATGAGTCTTTCTAAATATGCAGCATTAAAATTTTGGGTTGCATTGAACTGTGGCATTGCCATTCATCTTACTGAGTGAGTACCTTGTGAATAAAGGCATTTATTCAGTAGAAGAACAAAGACAGCTTTTGACGTAGACACTCCAGACACAGGGTCAATCATCTCAACAGACCAGATGAAACCAAAACCTAGTCCTTAAACTCACCTTCATGGAGCACATGACTACGTGGACTACATTATGTAAAGGTGCCAAAGAAGCAGTTGTTACCTCTTTTTAGGAAAATTAAACATAGGTAGAAATAAATGACAAAACAGAGGATAAAGTGTGAAATACCCCAGGAGGATTAGAGGGAGAGACTTTTGGAGTTCAAGGCAAGGAGACTCCTCGTCCATCTGAGGATGGTTGGTGGGTTTGGCGAGGGTCAATGGAAATGGACTTGGATTTGCTGTTGCTCCTGAGTTTACCTGGATTCTAACATGGTGGGGTGAGAGCTGCAGCACGATGAGTGAGAGACGTGCCAAGGAGAGCTAGGCCAGATTCTAGGCTGGTCATTCCAAATGGCATTTATTTTTAAGATAGCATTTATTTTTTAAGATAACCATCAGAATGAACACGAATGTAAAAATCTCAGAGAACCTGTGGGTGTCTGGTACCCTTCTCCGCAGCTGGAGAAACACTTATCTAATTAGATTGGGTCTAATTTATCTAATGGGATCTAAAGATCTTTTCAGTTTGGGGATGCCAACTGAAGCCCACAGAAGGACAGTGAGTTTCTCTAGCTTGCACGGTGAGTTGGTGGCAGCAGAGGGACTAGAACCCAGAAACCCAGTCCTTCTTGCACTGTACTTTAAGAACCATAGAAATATTCTTGCTCACCGTGGTCTTGAATAGACTCTCTTGGGTCAGTTTGGGAAACCTAACAGATCTAGGTACTACTGCTAAGGGCAGATAAGTTTTGAGAGCAGCAATCAGCAAAGTTCCTTGAAATGTTATCAGGACTCTCAATGGGGGAGTGACTGTCCCCATTGACCCAGGATAGAGAAGTTTCCTGCAGAAAATTAGAAGATGCTTACTCACCAAAGCTGTAAATACATGCACACCTTCGCTAATGCCCCAGCACATTGGTCTTGCTAAACAGGCAATGGATTAGTTTTCTGCATCTGATTTTTCCCCTAAAGTTTGCTAGGTTTTTTTTTTTTTGCAAAACTTTGTTCTAAAAACATACTCATACCTTCCTTTGGATGGTTGCAAATTACCAATTTTGTCACAGGCTCCTCCTGTGAGACATCATCCATGGTGTGCTGTGTGTTTCTGTGGTTCCTTCCTGCCATCTAGTGGCCGTGTCCACAGGACCTTGACAATCGGCACTTTTAAACAGTACTTATAAGCGTTCCAAGCCTTTGCCACAAAAACAAAGCAAGTGGGCAAATCAGTTTAAGTTAACAATTACTCAACATACGAAGGCTTAAAAATTATTAAATGTAGACATGCTAGATGGCTTGAAAAAATGCTTTGCTTTTTTTTTTTTTGAAAAGCAGTCTTTCCTGCAAGACGCCTTTAAGGCAGTATTTTTGAAACTTTTTATTAAAGTATCTTACATGGAGGTATAAGCACATATGCATGAATTTCCATGATGGGAATACGCCTGCCTGTTAGCCCCGGCCCTCTTGTGTAACCACTGACTTTCAGCGCCATCATTTCACTCATATTGGTACTTTGTGTAAGTGAAGTGATATGGTGGGTACTCTGCTGAATGTGTGGCATTTTTTTTTTTT